AGGTTAAGTTTATGTGAAGCACAATGATAAAAACATGCCATTGGATACTTGCGTCGTATGATACTTTGTACTCCATTTATTCTACCACTCATTGTCGAGCATCCGTCAAATCCAAGGCCAATAAGTTGTGACAAACTTAATCCATATTTATTAGTGATATTAATTAAGGCATTTGCAATACCTTCAGCACTTAGGTCTTGAACTTCAGTGAAACCTAGAAATTCTTCTCTAATTTCAAAACTTTGCATGTTGAAATAACGAATACCAATTGACAATTGCTCTTTTCCGCTTATATCAGAAGTTTCATCAGCTAACAAGGAAAATACATAAGAATCATTGATACAAGATATTATATCGTTGCGAATAACATCACCACAAATACTTATTATCTCATTCTGTATTCTATGGGACACATATTTTGTTTTAGTTGTACATGTTTCAAAATGATTCATCAAAATTGTATCACCAGAGTCTACTCGAAACTTCAGTAAATCAATAAAATTTCCTTCATCAGAACATTTACCTCTTATAGCAATATCATGTGTTCCACAGTATATTAATGTTTTAATAATTGGGATAATCTTTTTTCGGTTATTTTCAATAACTCTGTTATACCCAGTATCTATTTGTTCCAACACAGTTTTTTTTTTAAATGTTAATGTATCCTCAAACATTTTTGCTGATGCTGTTGAATCTTTATGACATTGCAATTGGCTATGTTTTTTTGCTTCTTCATGTATTTTATAAAATTTAACAAACGGTTTCATTATAAATGCTCCATACAATCCTCTTTTAAGAGTAGGCTTATAACACACAAAATTTGCATAAAACTCCTTTACATGTTGGAGAATAAACCATCCAATCATATTTATCCAGACATCCAACACTGAATCCTCGTTTAGCACCTGGGATCATATCATTTTTGAAATTATAACAACTGGTTGGCTTGAATGGAAATTTCAGTAACTTGTACTTTAAGTAATCTGCAATTGGTCGAACATTAATAAATGCTCCTACGTCTAAAAAATCAGGAATATTACTGTTTGAATCTGAAAAAAATATTTAATTGAACTTAAAATATATGAAAAATGGAAATACTCAATGACAAACTGCAATGTCAATTACTATTAACTAATAATAAATGTTATAATTAAAGTAAGTACTTATATAGAGTATTGAACAATAATGCTCATGTATAGAAATTAACGATTTATAAATAAAAAAAATTCAAAAGATACATTTTTAAAATTATTACTCACTAGTATCAGTAGACGTTGCAGTTGTAGCAATACTTTGTAATGAAGGTGACTG